CCCCAATGCTCCCTCTAAGCTGTGGAGTCTTGTGAGCAAAAATTCTACTTTGTGAGCTACGGGCATTAAAGTTATGAGCAAGCGATTTGGTTACTGCATAAATTACTTTGCTCTGGAGCAGTGTTCCCTCTAAGCTGAGTTAGTGTGAGCTAGCTCACAGTTTTTTAGCCTCCGGCTCACACATTTTCGTCTCGGCTCAGGAAGGAAGGCTCCAGAGCAAACTGATTTATTCAGTAGCCAAATCTCTCCCTCAGAACTTTAATGCCAGTAGCTCACAGAGTAGAATTTTTGCTCACAAGACTCCACAGTTTAGAGGGAACATTGCTCTGGAGCCATCCTTCCTGAGCGAAGACAAAACTTGTGTGAGCTGGAGGCTAAAAACTGTGAGCTAGCTCACACTAACTCAGCTTAGAGGGAACACTGCCGCCAAACCCCCCCCCCAGTTCCCACAGAAGGTCTCTTGCTTCCATCACCTGCCTTCCTCCCCCTGAGCAACCCCTCCTCTGTTCTCCAAGCCTTGGGCCTCCTCACCTCCTCTGTTTTGAACATCACTTGGAGGAGATTGGTTCTTTTCAGGCCAGTGGGGTGACAAAATAAATCGTTGTTGGCTCCGTAGCTGCTGCTGGGCCTCACGCCACAAACACAGCCGGCCCTGTGTGTGTCCAAGCACAACCCAGAGCGTGTAAAGACCACAACAGCCGACTGTTGGGCATCCCCTCGACGCATTCCAACAAAATCTCGTTTCCCCAAAAAGCTTTCTTTCCCGAGGAAACACAGTCGCATTCAAAGTTGCCAACAGGGGGATCAGCAAAAATTTGCTGTCCCCCCCCCTCCATATTGTCCGCTTCCCCCGATCTTCCCACCCCTTGTTGGGTCCCCATTCCTGCCCCCGGCCTCTCCTTTCCCCCTCACAGCCCTGCCCAAGCGGACTTTTTTCCCTCTCTCCTCCCCACTCCCTTATCTCCCGGTTGAGGAACGCTGGGCACCATTTTGGGTTGTTTCAATTGTATGCAGACATTGCTCCCCCCCCCTTTTCTGGGGTTTTAACCCCACAGTGATGCTCAAAGTATGATTAACAAGGAAGAGGGGGAGGAGATTGGATTTATACCCTGCCCTTCACTACCCAAGGAATCTTAGAGCGGCTTACAATCTCCATCCCCTTCCCCTCCCCACAACAGACACCCTGTAAGGTAGGTGGGGCTGAGAGAGCTCTTTCGAGAACTGCTCTTGAGAGAAGAGCTCTGAGAGAACTTGTAACTGACCCAAGGTCACACCAGCAGCTGCATGTGGAGGAGTGGGGAATCAAACCTGGTTCTCCCAGATTAGAGTCCACGCACTTAACCACTACACCAAACTGGCTCTCAAGAAGCAGCGTTAAAAGAGCATATTATGCATATTTAAAGCACTCCACACAGACATGATCACCATAACCCTTATGACAGCAACCCTGCAAGGTAGGCCTGCACCGTTATTCCAGTATTACAGACGGGGCTCTGAGGAAGCTGGGAGAACTGTGGCTTAAGACCGATACGAAGCTTGTGGCTAAGGCAAAACGCAGAAAGAGGCTCTCCCAGCTTCCATTACTAGGGCTTTTACGCAAATAAAAGGGCTGAAGAACATACCTCAGGAGCCCCCGAGGTTCAAACCAGTCTTTAAAAAGCTACAGCGGCTGCCAGTTTGTTTCCGAGCTGGTTATGACCTTCAAATCCTTTCATGGCCTAAGACCATCTGTTTATTTCATTCAATTCATTCATATCCCACCTTTCTCCCCAATGGGGAGTCAGGACCCACAGCAGCTTACATCAATCTCCAGTCCTCCATTTTGTCCTCACAACAACCCTGCGAGGTAGGTCAGGTTGAGAGCATGTGACTGACCCAAGGCCACCCAGCAAGCTTCCATTGCACAAGTGGGGATCTGAACTCAGGTCTCTCAGATACTAATCTGACACTCTTAACTACTATACCACCATATTTCCCCATGTGCCACCTATTGGCTGGTTAACCCCCCCACCCACAGAAGATGGCCCACCTGGCATGAACCAGAGCTTGCGCCTTCTCCTTTGCAACTCCTGCTTGGTGGGGTGGGCTCCCTAAGGAAGATGGTGGGGAGGCTTGAGAAAGTTCTAGGAGATGCTGCATGGCCCTTTTATTTGCTATGGTTTTTAATGGGGTATAAACGACAGGTATCTTTTCTCGGGAGCGGGGTCATTTGGGGGTTTATTTTTTATCCCCCCCCCCCAGTTTTCAAAACCTTTCTTTAGATAACAGGGGAATTACAATTGATACAACCCTTAAGCAAAATGTTGATACACATAAGCAGGGGTCATTTCCTGCGGGAGCGCACAGGAGCGGAGCTCCGGCAGTAAGGAGCCCAGGGGGCGGGCACATGCAACAAGCCCCGCCCCCTGCTCCCAGCAGCCCTCAGTTGGGCCACGAGGAGCAAGAAGCAGCCAAGTAAGTTGCAGAGCCCCCCGCTGGACCGCCTTCAGGTACAAGCTCTCCCTTCTCTGTGAGGACAGATCTGTACGCCCCCCCCCAATAGCTAGCAATCCAAAACAGTCCAGTGGAGCCTGAGTGGTGAGTGTTGCCTTCTGACACACTTCTGGACAGGGGGTGTGGCATATGCAAATAACTTATGCTAATGAGTTACGCTAATGAGCTCCTGCACCTCTTTTTCTACGAAATGACCCCTGCACATAAGCAAAACGTTACTACCACATAAGATACTATATCAAACATTTCAAAAACATATATACAAATATCAGTTACAATGGTGTTTCTAGTATAAGATCATAAGCTTAAAGTGAGGTATAAAGGTATGGGGGATATTAAGTGCCATGGTCATGACCTGCAATGGTGAGTTTTTTTAACGTAAAGAGGTGGAAAAATCTCAAGGGATTTTACTCTACATATCAAAGATAAGATGGGAATTGATACACAGCTTATTAACAGCAGCTGAGACAGTACCGGCAAAACTCTGGAAACTACGAACATTCTCCTTGTCAGAATGGTACTCGTAGATCACTTACTAATGGAGAAAATGACTGATTGCCTACAACAAACAGACATCTACCCAAGGCATACCAACGTCACTGAAAAATGGCTTCCAGTCATCACTCATATTCTTGAACAAGAACTTGATCCTCCAGACCAGTTCTGTCGTCAACTATTATTCTTTTAACATACGTAACATTTTCTCTTACTTCTCTTTTCTTTCAATTATCTCCTTTTCTTCTCTGAATTGATCTAGGGTTTGTTTTGACGACTTTAAAACGGTGGTGTTTTTAATTACGATTGATAAGCCATCTTGAGGAAAGCTGGTATATAAATACTACCAGGGCTTTTTTTGTAGAAAAAGCCCAGCAGAAACTCATTAGCATAATAGGCCACACCCAACAACAGAAACTCATTAGCATATCCAGCCACACCCATGAGAGCATAGCTCATTAGCATATTAGGCCGCACCCCCATGTTACCAGAAGTATAGTCATCCAGCCACACCCACCTTTTGCTTCTTATTCTGTTTACCTTGTTTGTTGTCAAAACCCAGGGCTTTTTTTGTAGCAGGAGCTCCCTTGCATGTTAGGCCACACAACCCTAATGTAGCCAATCCTAATGAGTTTCTGCTATTGGGTGTGGCTTATTATGCTAATGAGTTCCTGCTAGGCGTGGTCAACTTGGGAGCCAGCCGGAACTCCATTCCTGTGCGTTCCTGCCCAAAAATAGCCCTGAATACTACAATGAATAAGAGCCTGTAATCGCGCCCCCCCATCCAGCCTGACTCCACCCCCAAAAGCTCATTGGTTCTCAGCAACCTGCTCCGGATGTCAAAAGCCAATAGGTCGGTTCTGGGCCTTTCTCTGGCTTCTGGTGCTGCCTGCCAGGCTCCTGTTAACTGGCTTCTACATTTGTCAGTCTTGTCCGTCGTTATGCTTGTCCCGCCCCCGGACATCTCTAGGCCTCACCCCATGAATCTCAGTTCTTGGGATCCAGCACTCCTACTCCAGTCGAGATCAGCCAAGCCAGGTCCTGGTCTTCTAGACCACTTGACTAGCTGCCTGGCCCCAAAGTGGCGATCAGCATTTCCCTAAGCATGTAAGAAAGGCCCACAAGAACGAAGCACTGATGCAACCTTTCCGGCCTTCCTTCTCATGATCTGCCTAAGTTCACAGAATCAGCATTACTGTCAGATGGCCATCAAGTTTCTGTTTGAAAACCTTCAAAGAAGGCGAGCCCACCACCTCCCAAGGAAGTCTTTTCCACTGAGAAACCGCTCTGTCAGGAAGTCCTCCCTAATGTTTAGCCAAAAACTCTTTTGATTTGATTTCAACCTGTCGGTTCTGGTCCGACCTTCTGGGGCGACAGAAAACAGCTCCTACCATCTTCTATATGACAGTCCTTTAAGGACATGAAAATGGACTTCTCTTGGACTTGAACTGCAGCTGGGCCATATAGATAGCAGACGCTGGGCTCCCTAATAGGCCATGCATTGGCTCCCTAATAGGCCATGCATGCATCAGAAACCATTCCCTCCTATTGCGCGTTAACCCACTTGATGTGGACGTAAGCTGATGTGGATGTAAGAACATAAGAAGAGCCATGCTGGATCAGACCAAAGGCCCTTCAGGTCCAGCACTCTGTTCAGACAGCCGTCAACCAGCCTGCCTCTAAGAAGCCCATAAACAGGACGACCAAAGGGGGCCTAGCATACACAGGAGTTTAAGAAGACTCATTCCCCCACAAAATGTCAAATAAGTCCACTTCCTGTGCAGTCAACAAATAGGTTATAAATAGCAGACGCTGGGCTTCCTAATAGGCCATGCATTGGCTCCCTCATAGGCCATGCATGCATCAGAAACCATTTCCTCCTATTGCGCGTTAACCCACTCGATGGCTTCAGAAGGCAATATTTGAAGTGGAACCTCTGTGTCCGAGCACGGCACGCTCACGGTGAGCCTTCGAAGGGAGCCGCCGGCGCACAGCCAGCAGAAGCTGCTTACCGTCTTCGTGGCCTTCTCGGTTCCTCCGCCGATGTCGGTCTCGCCGGTGACTGACAACCGACTCCGTGCCCGTTTCATTGTCCAGCCCGTCCCGGCTGCTCGCGGCATTTGGGCTGCAGAGAAGGAGAACGTGCGAGATGTAACGGCTATACCGAACGAGCCACTGCCGTTTCAGCGGGAACCCCCCCCAATCCCTCCCTGTGTGGTTACGGCAAGCATATTAAAAGCCCTTCCAAAGTGTTCAGCAAAACGAGTGGTACAATCACAGCGGGACCGTAGCATGGAGAATGCGTGTCCATCAGATGCTGAATTTGCATATTCGGCAAAAGCCATCTCAAACATACATGAGGGACCACTTGTTTGAAGCTGCCCAGGTGCCAAATGCTCATGGCTACCTCCGCTCGTTAACTGTATAAACTGTCTTTATATTTGCATACAAATTACAAAGTCAGTAATCCTGAAGTGGGGAAAAAAGCAATTTTAAAAAATAAAACGAACATGCCCATCAGCGTCTCCAAACTAACATATGCACAATGCTGCAACTTTTCGCTGTTATCCTACGATCAAAAAGGGAGGACAGAGCCGAGATAAACCGGCACAAACTATAATAAATTAAAGAAGACACTTATATTTATAGCCTAACAGTGTCACCTTTTACACCTACAAACATAGTAAATGTAACATCCAAATTACACATGGAGTGAAGACGGGATAATTAAAAACTTAGAGTCACCCAGTGAAGTGTGCTCAGGGCAAACCCAAGGAAGTACGTAATGCATGATTAACTTATGGAACTCATTGCCTCAAGATGCAGTAATGGCACCCATCAAGCCCTGCTTGGCCAGCCCAGAGGTCCCTCTAGTCCAGCACCCCATATCCTACAGAGGCTGACCGTACACTCAAGAATATCTACAGCAGTGGCACAGAGACCAAAGCCTCTAGCCCCCAGCACTCTGCCCCTGAACATGGAGGTCCCATTCAACTATCTCTGCTAACAGCCACTGATAGAACTACATGCCTGAGTGGATGCCCTGTATTCTTGGTGCTTGGGGGGGGCAACAGTGGGAGGGCTTCTGGAGTTCTGGCCTCACTGGTGGACCTCCCGATGGCACCTGGTATTTTTGGCCACTGTGTGACAGAGTGTTGGACTGGATGAGCCACTGGCCTGAGCTGACATTGGCTTCTCTGATGTTCTTATGCCAGTAATGGCCCTTCCTCAGTCCACCTCAGCAGCGCCATCTAGCGACCACAAGCAGTTTCGGGCTGGAACTAGTCAATCAGCACAGCAGCCCTCTGAACCTTTTCTTCCCACCCTACCGACAAGGGGCCGGTGTGATTCTTCCCTCCTATATTTTACCCTAACAACCACCCTGTCAGGTAGATTAAACTGAGAAGGGAATGGCTTGGCGAAGACCACTTAGTAAGCTTCGCAAAGCTTAGGAGACGTGAACTCAGATCTTTCCAGTCCTAGCCTGACACACTAACCCCTACACCATACTTGCTCTCTAATACTGCTTTATACCGCTCTGAATGCCATAACTTGCTCCACTGCATCTTGGGAATTGTAGTTTGGTAGGGTGGCTCAAGTGGTTAAGACGCTGAACTGCAGGCTGTGGAAGGTCGGTATTTCAGCAGTTCGAGACCCAAGTGTGCCGCATGACGGAGTGAGCTCCCGTCTCTAGTTCCAGCTCCTGCCAACCTAGCAGTTCGAAAGCAAGGAATTGCAAGTAGATAAATAGGTACCACTTCAATGGGAAGCTAACAGCGTTCCGTGCGCCTTGGTGTTTAGTCATGCTGGCCACATGACCACGGAAACGTCTTCGGACAGCGCTGGCTCTTCGGCTTTGAAACGGAGATGAGCACCGCAACCCTAGAGTCAGACTCGACTGGCTCTCGAGCAAGGGAACCTTTACCTTTTTTTTAGGGTAGTGGAAACTCTGTTAGTGTCCCAGCCTCATTCTCCCAGAAGTACAGGTTCCAAAAGTCCTGTTCACATGACGGACACGCATGAAGCTGCCTTAAACTGGATCAGACCATCAGTCCATCAAGGTCAGTATTGTCTGCTCAGACCGGCAGCCGCTCTCCAGGGTCTCAGGCAGAGGTCTTTCACCTCACCTACTGCATGATTCTTTTACATGGAGATATCAGGGATTGAACCTGGGACCTTCCTCTCTCAGCCTAACACCCATCTCACAGGAGAAGAGGAGATTGGATTTATACCCCGCCCTTCACTACTCCGCGGAGTCTCAGAGCAGCTTACAATCTCCTTTCCCTCCCCACAACAGGCACCCTGTGGGGTAGGTGGGGCTGAGAGAGCTCTTCTGAGAACTGCTTGTGAGAGAACAGCTCTGAGAGGACTTGTGACTGACCCAAGGTCACACCAGCAGCTGCATGTGGAGCAGCGGGGACAGAGTCCTCACGAAGCCAGCTTAATTGCAATGAGACCGCCGGGCCTCCCAAATCAGTCTTGTCTACTCTGATGGGCAGGGAAAGATCTTTCCCAACAGCCCAGGTCCTTTAACTGGAGATGTTGGGGGGGGTCAAACCTGGGACCTTCTGCATACAATGCAATCGTTCTGCTGAACGTATGAGGCTGCTCTTATACCAAATCAGAGCTTTGGTCTGACAGCGGCTCTCCGGGGGCTGAGTCAGAGGTCTTTCCCATCACCCACTGTCTGATCGCACCGACTGGAGGGCCCAGGCTAGCCCTAAGGTCATCGGATCTCAGAAATTAAGCAGGGTCGGCCCTGGTTAGTACTTGGATGGGAGACCACCAAGGAAGCCCAGGGTTGCTACGCAGAAGCAGGCAGTGGCAAACCACCTCCCTTCGTCTCTTGTTCCAGCTCCACCAGGTAGGGTTGCCAACCCTCCCTGATTTGCCAGGGGTCCCCCGTTTTTTGGGGGGGGTTCTACCCGCCCCCACCCCCCACAGCCACCCATCTCTCTCCCTTTAAGTGTGTGGAACCCGTGTTTCCTCCCAAGCCCAATCTCCGCAAGCTTGCAGGGAAATGCCAGCTTCGTGCTCTTAAAAGGGAAACACGGCTGCTCTTAAAGGGGAAACGCCGGCTCCTGCATTTAAAAGGGAAACGCCGGCTCCTTTAAGTGCAGGGAACTGCCGTTTCTGGAGATCTGGCACACGGGCGGGGGGGGGGCGGATGTCCCCAACATGACGTTATCACGTCGGGGATGCCCTGCCCCTCCAGGAACGCCCCCAAAGTCCCCCGCTGGGGGTGGAAGATGGACTTGGCAACCCTACCGCCAGGTCAGGCAGCTGGCCCCAGAGCTCTCTCGCCCTGACCTAGCCATAGTGATCCACGTGGCAGTCACCTCGAAGCTGGATGACTGTAATTCGCTCTACATGGGGCTGCCCTTGAAGCTGACCCGGAAATTACAGCTGGTCCAGAATGCAGCGGCGCAGGAACTTACAGGTACCCCAGTGAGCGCACGCATCCAACCAGTGCTTCGCCAGCTGCACTGGCTCCCAGCTGAATACCAGATCCGCTTCAAGGTTCTGGTCTTAACTTTTAAGGCCCTAAACAGTTTGGGACCAATGTACCTGTGGGACTCCCTTTTCCGGTATGTCCCTCTAGAAGCCTTGCACTCACAAGAGCAAAACCTACTGGTGAGCAGTGTTCCCTCTAAGCTGAGCTAGTGTGAGCTAGCTCACGGTTTCTTAGCCTCCAGCTCACACCTTTTTGTCCTAGCTCCGGAGGGAGGGCTCCACAGCAAACTAATTTCTGCAGTAGCCAAATCGCTCGCTCACAACTTTTAATGCCGGTAGCTCACAAAGTTGAATTTTTGCTCACAAGACTCCACAGGTTAGGAGGAGGAGGAGGAGGAGATTGGCTTTACACCCCACCCTTCACTACCCAAAGGTGTCTCAGAGCGGCTTACAAACTCCTTTCCCTTCCCCTCCCCACAACAGACACCCTGTGAGGTAGGTGGGGCTGAGAGAGCTCTGACAGAAACTGCTCTTTTTTCAAGAACAGCTCTTATCAGAACTATGGCTTGCCCAAGGTCATCCAGCCAGGTGCAAGTGGAGGAGTGGGGAATCAAACCCAGTTCTCCCAGATTAGAGTCCGCGCACTTAACCACTACACCAAACTGGATTAGAGGGAGTATTGCTGTTGGCCCCGGCCCAAAAGGTGTCCGGCTGTCCTGCCTGGTGGCACTCTCTGCCTGGAGACATCCACGCCCTGCGGGACCAAGTACAGTTCTTCGGGGAGTGCAAGACGGGTTTCCATTGTATCCGGCCTGTGACCTGCCCCCATGGAGGGAGAGAACTACATACTGAATGCCATCATAGATAGGTTGTGTTTTTAATGGTTTTATTTAGTTAAATGTTGACTGTTGATGTTTTAACTAATTTTATTGTATGTCTGTCAGGGCGAGTGACAGACTTCACATTAGGGTTGCCAACTCACTTTTTGCCAGGAGCGGGGGGCTCCCGGCCGGTGTCCTCTTCGTGCGCGCGCACTACGCGCCCCACGTGCATCACCCGGAAGTGACGTCACATGCTGGGGGCGGGGCGACGCCATTTGAGGGGAAAACAAAGAGTTCCCCCCTCAAATGGTGTTGCCCCGCCCCCAGCGTGTGATGTCACTTCCGGGTGATGCACGCGCGGGGGTGGGGTTTCCCCCGGGCCCCGATTCCGCAGGAGTGGGAATCAGGGCGCAAAACCGGGGGGAATTCCGCCCCCCAGGGGGATTTGGGACCCCTACTTCACATTCCTGGGATCCCAGATCACCGCAGACTGTGACAGCAGCCATGAAATTAACAGACGCCTGCTCCTTGGGAGGAAAGCGATGGCGAACCTAAACAGCACGATAAAAAGTAGAGACATCTCCCTGCCAACAAAAGTCCGCATGGTCAAAGCAATGGTATTCCCAGTAGTCATGTATGGCTGCAAAAGTTGGACTATAAGGAAGGCCGAGCGCCGAAGAATAGATTCTTTTGAACTATGGTGCTGGAGAAGACTCTTGAGAGTCCCTTGGACTGCAAGGAGATCAAATCAGTCAATCCTAAAAGAAATCAACCCTGACTGTTCCCTGGAAGGCCAGATAATGAAACTGAAGCTCAAATACGTTGGCCACCCAATGAGAAGGGAGCACTCACTGGAGAAGACCCTGATGCTGGGAAAGATTGAAGGTCAAAGAAGACGGGGACGGCAAAGGATGAGATGGTTAGACAGTGTCATAGATGCAACGAACATGAAATTGAGCAAACTTCAGAGGACGGCGGAAGAAAGGAAGGCCTGCCGTGATCTGGTCCATGGGGTCGCGAAGAGTCGGACTCGACTGTGCGACTGAACAACAACAACAATTCTAAATATGATGTACACTGCCCTGAGCCCTTCATGGGGTGGCCAGTTTAGGGATCAAATAAATCAAAGCAAATCAAACCCTACAGGGTCACCGTAAGCTGGCTGTGACTTGATGGCACGTTCCGCCACCACAATATCTGACTCTTTTACATGGAGATGCTGGAGGGGGGGGGGAGTTGAACTTGGGACCTTCTGCATTCCAAGAAAATACTCTTCCTCCGCCCCTCCCTGCTCAGTCTCCCAGGAGATTATCTGATGGCTTTTTGTTATTTCAGGCAGAGGAGGTGAAATTTCTGGTCAACAAACAGGGATGCCCCACCTCCTCTTGGAAACCCCCCTGAACGTCAAGTTCCTACAGTCAGTCATCATGATTAATCCGATCAGCCTCTCTGCTTCTGAATTGTGCTTTAATATAAACAGGTTTTTGGCGACACTGGACCTAACGTCCTCAAGAGCACGCCGGTCCCTCCGAAGTATTTGCTAATTTTGGTTTCCAGGTGGATCGGCTGCTTTTTGTTCCCTCCTGGATGCAATTAGAACATGTAAACCCAACAAAGCTGAGTCATGTGCCCCTGAACCGGCAGAGGTATTATTCAGTACGAAAATGCGTCAAAACATATTCGTTGGCTTTTCTTTGTGGTTAGTGAATTCAATTAAAGCACACCAAGCTTAGTCACACAGTTTACAAAATTACACAAGGGGAAGAAAGGGCGGCTTCCCGCACAGCCACGAAGCTCGTGGAAAGGCCTGGGCTCAGGTGCTCCCTCTCGGCCTCGCCTACCTCACAGGGTTGTTGTGTGGATAAACAACAGGAGAGGCTCTGAGCTTCTTGGAGGAAGGGGCAGGATGGGGGATACGTTCCTGGGGAGTAGTGTATGCGAAAGAGATCTTGGGGTAAGGGTGGACTGTAAACTAAATGTGAGCAGTCAGTGTGATGCGGTGGCAAAAAAGGCAAATTCAGTCTTGGGTTGTATTAAAAGGGCCAAAGCATGGAAATCACAGGAGGTCATAGCCCCTCTGTGTATTGCCTTGGTCAGGCCACACCTGGAGTACTGTGTGCAGTTCTGGAGGCCTCACTTCAAAAAGGATGTGGACAAAATCGAGAGGGTGCAGAAGAGAGCGAAGAGGATGATCAGGGGTCTGGAGACTGAGCCCTACGAGGAAAGGCTGAGGGCCCCGGGAATGTTTAGTTTGGAGAAGAGGAGATTGAGGGGGCACACGATTGCTCTCTTGTTATGCCAATAAAGGTTTATGCGAGAGATTGCTCTCTTTAAATATTTGAAAGGCCGGCCGTCATTTGGAGGAGGGCGAGGAGCTGTTCCAGCAGTTGGCAGCAGAGGACAGGACCCAAAGCAACGGGTTTAAATTATATGCAGAAAGGTATCGGCTGGATATTAGGAAAAACTTTATCACAGTCAGAGTGGTTCAAAGGTGGAATCAGCTGCCTAGGGAGGTGGTTAGCTCCCCTTCACTGACAGCTTTCAAGAAGAGGCTGGACGAATATTAGTCAGAGATGCTTTAGGCTGGTCCCGCATTGGATAGGGGGTTGGACTAGAGGGTCTGTACGGCCCCTTCCGACTCTGTGATTCTATGATAAGCATGTTAAGAAACACACACAAGTCAACAGAAAAAAAACCTTTTCCCTGTGTAAACTGAAGGGGAGGTGGAATCTACGCACTGCTGGGCAGCACAGGAAGAGAGAAGAAAGGGTCGGCCGCTGGTTTTGCTTGGGTCCACTCAGCCTGAACGCCAGCCTGGAAAAGTCCCAGTTCAACAAGGGTCCAAATCGTTCGTTTCCTCTCCAGGAGAGCCTGACCCTGCAAGGTGGCCAAGGATTCTCCCCGCCAAGGTTGGGGACACTCTGCCCAGAGAACACGACACCCTGCGGGGCACATATGCGATGCCCCCTTGGCACCGGTCCCGGTTGGGGATGGGTCAGGAAGACAAAGACAGAGCGGAGTCACGTGACGGAAGCCGCACAAGGGTGCCGGGAGAGCCACAAGAGGGCAGCAGAACCTTTGCAAGATTCGGGCGGCTGAGGCAAGCCTCCCCCCCCTCCCCTCTTTTTAGGCTGGAAAACAAACCAGAGAGAGCGAGAGAGAGAGAGGGAGAGAGAGACACGGAGGGGGAGGGGGGGGAGAGAGAGAGAGAGAGAGAGAGAGAGAGAGAGAGAGAGAGAGAGAGAGAGATGGCCTAGGAAGCAATGGGGACAGGAGAAAGGAAAGAAATCAGCTGAACTCTTAAAATGTTCCACTGTGTAACCGGGATTTCTCATCTGGAGCGCAGACACCTGGACCATAAGACATAAAAACATAAGAGACGCCAATGTTGGATCAGGCCAAAGGCCCATCCAGTCCAACACTCTGTCACACAGTGGCCAGAAATACCAGGTGCCATCATGAGGTCCAGCAGTGGGGCCAGGACACCAGGAGCCCTCCCACTGTTGGCCCCCCCAAGCACCAAGAAGACAGAGCATCATTTGCCCCAGAGTCCCTATCTATACCTTGTGGCTAATAGCCACTGATGGACCTCTGCTCCATATGCTTATCCAATTCCCTCTTGAAGCCATCCATGCTTGTAGCCGCCACCACCTCCTGTGGCAGTGAATTCCAAGTGTTAATCACTCTTTGGGTGAAGAAGTGCTTCCTTTATCCGTTCTAACCCGACCACTCAGCAATTTCATGGAGTGCCCACGAGTTTCATTCTCCAGACTTTCATTCTCTGGCCGAATCCAGAACAAGACGGTCCATCAGGTGTTTGTTTGTTTTTTTAACAAAAGGAGAACCCACTGTGTCTGCGTCCGTTGCTGCATGTTTTCAAGCTGCTGCTACCTATCCGAAGGGGAGGGAAGGCCGCATGGTATAGCCCAGTCTTGTCAGTTCTGGGAAGCTAAGCAGGGTCTGGAAGGGAGACCACCGAGGATAACGGAATGCATGTACCGCTTTAAACCGCAGTTGCAGTTTAATCAGACCGCTGATCCATCTACCTCCCTACTGTCCTCTCTGACTGGTGGCAGCTTCCCAGGGTCTCTGACAGAGAAGGGTCAGTTTCCAATCCAGTACTTGCCTCAGTGGTCATTAGCCGCCAGAGCCAAGTAAGAACATAAGAACATCAGAGAAGCCAGCGTTGGATCAGGCCAATGGACCATCCAGTCCAACACTCTGTGTCACACAGTGGCCAAAAAGACCAGGTGCCATCAGGAGGTCCAGCAGTGGGACCAGGACATTAGAAGCCCTCCCACTGTTGCCTCCCCCCCAAGCACCAAGAATACAGAGCATCCCTTGCTCCAGACTGAGAATTAAGAATATAAGAGACGCCAATGTTGGATCAGGCCAATGGCCCATCCAGTCCAACACTCTGTCACACAGTGGCCTAAAATACCAGGTGCCATCAGGAGGTCCATCAGTGGGGCCAGGACACTAGGAGCCCTCCCACTGTTGCCCCCCCCCCAAGCACCAAGAATACAGAGCATCCCTTGCCCCAGACTGAGAATTAAGAACATAATAGAAGCCAATGTTGGATCAGGCCAATGGCCCATCCAGTCCAACACTCCGTCACACAGTGGCCTAAAATACCAGGTGCCATCAGGAGGTCCAGCAGTGGGGCCAGGACACCAGAAGCCCTCTCCCACTGTTGCCCCCCCCCCCAAGCACCAAGAATACAGAGCATCCCTTGCCCCGGAGTCTCTATCTATACCTTGTGGCTAATAGCCACCAATGGACCTCTGCTCCATAAAATTCATGGCAAAAATAGAGGGGGAAATAGGGGCGGGGGGGGGGAACTGACGGAGATCAAGGAAGCCGTGTCAAGTTGTCTGCTTATTGTTCCCTTTGAATAGGAAGCGGAGGAAGGAAAAGGTGCCGCTCAAAATCACATTCAGATACCCCAGGGCAATGCTGTACTGACTGCAAAGTCACCCCTGAACAGCCATAAATCTATGCAGAAGGTACCATAAAACCTGATGAACAAAGCAGCATGCAGTGTAGAGGGAGATTAAACTCCCAATGTGGCTGTGGAAAAACTAAGAGGAAACAGATGGGTGCCGAATCAAACAGTGAGGGGCCCTTGTCCACTGGTCTTGGATGGATTGCTACCTGACCCCAGGCCCTCCCATAACTGCCTCCTGCAGCAGCCAAGTTACTCAAGAATCAGTGCCTGAATTTGCTCATTTTCTTCTTCCCTTTCGGACCCCTTTTTGGTGCCGTGCACTGTTCTGCAGGTGCTACTTTTCAACCTGAAAGGTGGACTATACACCATATAAAATAAATAACTATCAGCGATATCCAGCACTGAAACATGGCTTCGTTTCGCGCGCTTCCTGTAGGAGAAGAGAGGCAGCTAACGAGAGAGGACTGAAACTTATCGTACTGGAAGGAGGGGGGTCGGGAGTCGCCGATGCCTCCTGTTCTCTCGAGGGGAGGAGGAAGATCCGTGTGGCTCTCGGTGCAGTGCGAACCCGCGTCCGAATGGGAGCTTTCGGCCAGGACCAGCTGAAAAGTCAGAGAAGAGAAAGAATTAGACCGGCCCGAAAGAGACAGACTCGACGAATCTTCGAAAACGAGCATTTGCAACAGCCAAGAGTCCTGCCTAAAGGCCACTGCTAGACGGCTGGGGTGAAAACAGACCTGCAGTGGAGTTTATTATTTATTTATTTAAATTTATAACCCGCCCTCCCCGCGAACGGGCTCAGGGCGGTGTACAGATGGGGCCAATGCCCAATACATAAAACATTAAAACTGCATTTTAAAAACATTCAGTGCAACATAAGTGCTCTCCACAACAACTAACAAGGGAACCGATGTCACCAGGATGGTATCCTTAGTGGCCACAGCTCCACGCAGTACCACCATTTTTGCACTCACGGCGAGTTGGTAATAAGGGCTAGGACAGATGGTAACAGTCGTGGCGGCTCCTACTCAAACGCCTGGCGGAAGAGCTCCGTCTCGCAGGCCCTCAGAAAGGTGTGCAACCTAGATTATCGGTCTCCAGCCCTTTCACTACGGTGACCCACCCATTCAAATTTTCTTGGTATGGTGACCCATCGGGGGCTGGCCCAAGGTTTTTTGGCGCCCTAGGCAAACTATGACCTTGGTACCCATCTTGTGCAGCATACCATTTTCTACAGTGGCTAACCAGATGTTTCTGAGAAACCAACAAACATTGCCCAAAGGGTGCAGCTGCCCCCGTTATGAACCTCAAGCATGTGGTATGCTGTCATACACAGTCTTGGCATATGGTGGTTACATTCCAGCCTTTGACCACCTGCTCCTCCTCCATCACTCCCTCTAATCCCCCCTAAGATTCTCACTCAGCCCAGTGACTATCAGGACACTTTGTACTTGTTCAACATGTACATGTAGTGAAGGGAAAAATACTAAGCCTAGACAGCTTCAAGAGGGGACTGGATAAACATCTGGAGCAGAGGTCCATCAATGGTTATCAGCCACATGGTGTAGATGAAACACTCTGTCTGGGGCAGTGGTGCTCTGTGTTCTTGGGTGCTTGGGAGGCAACAGTGGGAGGGCTTCTGGAGTCTGGCCCTGCTAGTGGAACTCCCGATGGCACCTGGTTTTTGGCCACTGTGTGACACAGAGTGTTGGACTGGATGGGCCATTGGCCTAATCCACCATGGCTTCTCTTATGTTCTTACGTCTGGGACAATGATGCTCTGTCTTCTTGGTGCTTGGGGGGCAACAGATGGAGGGCTTCTTGAGTTCTGGCCCTGCTGGTGGACCTCCTGATGGACCATGGGTTTTGGCCACCGTGTGGCATAGAGTGGGCCATTAGCCTGATCCAACATGGCTTCTCTTATGTTCTTACCAACTGACGTATGACATGGAAGATACTGTTTCCATGGTCAGATCATGGTTTCCAAACACAAAAGAGAAAAATGCAAAGGGCAGGGGTGGCCATAAGGAAGGGTCTTCACAACCTCCTGTGCTAGAACACATTCACAAATGCAATCGATCTTCCAAATCCAGGTCCGGTCCCAACTCCCATCAAAGGTCACTGAACACTCGAGAGGTCCTTCCTTTGACCCCATGACCTCAGTGGAGTCCACCGGCCTGTAACCCTTTCCCAATTCCATAAACCCCCTCTAAGCCTCACCCCTCAAGAATGCCTTTTAGAAAATACTATTTGAAATGTTTTTACGGTAAGCAAAGCATGGCCGAACGTTCGGTTGGGATCATCGCTGCCCACCAGGCGGCAACAGGAGAGCGGGTTTCCCTTTTTCTCAACAGGCATGTGAGGGCACGTAAGCCTACGCGAACGTAATGAGTTCATTTGTCAACTGGCTAAATTTCCTAAGCAAGCTGCAGACGGACAAGCCCAGAGGGAGCAAAACAGGCTGAGGGATGAGGCAGGGAAGAATATATATCTCGCAGGAGAGCGAGAGAGACGTACACCCAAAAGGCCCAAAATGTTAAGAAAAGTGATTTTTCTCGAACGGCGACATATTTCTCGTCAGGGCCAATCTATCACCCCAAACAGCAGCCGCTGGGGAAATGCTGAAAGAACAGGCAGCGCCGGCATTCGGCCCAACGGCAGGCTGACCAAAATTGACATTCCTGTAACCGACGCACGGGGGAAACGTTAATAGGAAAGGTATGTAAGAGAACCATGTTGGCGGCACGGAGGAAGCGCCAGAGAGACTGTCTCTCCCCAAGGCACTGCTCGGCTGATGAGAATTTACACACGGGTTTTTTAAAAAAGGGAGGAGAAACTGCAGGAAGGATATAGGAGACGCGCGCTCCTCCCGCCCCCAATAAGATCCTGACAGAAAGTTGCCCCGATGCATTAAGTTCCTTTCACTTCAAAGGAAAATAAGGGCTCCTTTCTGCTGACAGCAGCACCCGGCTTCCGTGCGAGGAGCCCCGTGAGACAGGCGAAGCGGAGCAGATGGAGCGAGAGCTCAAGTGTATGAAATTTGCTTCTGTCCTTTACAGGGACAAGCTACCCTTGATAACTGGGATCAGATAGTTTGTGGGCTGCGAATGGTGGGATTCAGCCGCGATTCTTAGTTTTCTTTTCTTTAAGAAAAAGAGGCAAGTTTCTAGTCCTTATAGACATCACAATATCTGCTAAAAAGAAAGGGGGAAAGCCTGCGGAAAAACCTCAGAAGCCAGAAAAGTGGTTCAACACTAAGTGCGTGGACTCTAATCTGGGAGAACCGGGTTTGATGCCCCACTCCTCCACTTGCACCTGCTGATGTGACCTTGGGTCAGTCACAAGCTCTGGCACAGCTGTCCTTGAAAAAGAGCAGTTTGTGTCAGAGTTCTCTCAGCCCCACCCACCTCACAGGGTGCCTGTTGGGGGGAGGGGAAGGGAAAGGAGTTTGTCAGCCGCTCTAAGACTCCAAGTGAAGGGCGGGGTATACATCCAATCTCTTCTCTTCTTCTTCCTTCAGTAGCTAGGGTTTCCAGGTTTCCCACTATAGTGCGAGACCTCCCCTTGACCCCCACTGCTACTCAGTAGGCCAGCATTGGGGAAAATAAGGCAAACATCACCCACATGTTGACAGCACTGCGTCATTTCTGAGGTAAAACCAGAAGTGACATCAGACCACTCTAGGATTCGGTGAAAAATCTACAGCCAAACTATAGCATTTTCACTGAATCCTAGAGCACTGTGACGTCACTTCCAAGCTTGCCCTGAAAATGAGAACATGCTTCAATGTGACAGCGCCTCCTATGTGTCCTTGTAAGCCACTCTAAGACTCCAAGTGAAGGACGGGATATAAATCCAATCTCTTCTCTTCTTCCTTCAGTAACTAGGGTTTCCAGGTTTCCCACTACAGTGCGAGACCTCCCCTTGACCCCCATAATGAACGAAGGCCTCCACAATGGATGGCAATTTCAACTCGGGCTGCTAGGCAAATCTGGCCAGTCCCTACCTTCCCATGATGCTTTGGGATGCAGCGTAAGGCGGAATGATTTTATCAATATGTGGCAGATCCATACACCGACAGCCCGGAAAATGTACACTCTTGCGGCGACGGTCCCCTCCCCGCATTAGGCACACACGTCATAGCGTCTTTGAAAAAGAGCAGTTTGTGTCAGAGTTCTCTCAGCCCCACCCACCTCACAGGGTGTCTGTTGTGGGGAGGGGAAGGGAAAGGAGTTTGTAAGCCGCTCTGAGACACCTTTGGGTCTCTTCCTCTTCCTACCACTCTAGGATTCGGTGAAAAATCTACAGCCAAACCATAGCATTTTCACTGAATCCTAGAGCACCGTGACGTCACTTCCAAGCTTGCCCTGAAAATGAGAACATGCTTCAATGTGACAGCGCCCCCTATGTGTCCGCCTCCCCCAGTCTCCCACTGGCTGGCAACCCTAGGTATTCCATGGGGTTTCCAGTGCTCCAACCCCATATCTAGCTGACAAAGCACATGATGTGCTAACGCCAGAGACCGGTTCTTATCTTCACAATGAACGAAGGCCTCCACAATGGATGGCAATTTCAACTCGGGCTGCTAGGCAGATCTGGCCAGTCTCTACATCCCCATGATGCTTTGGGATGCAGCGTAAGGCGGAGTGATTTTATCAATATCTGGCAGATCCATATACCGACAGCCCGGAAAATGTACACTATTGCGGTGACGGTCCCCTCCCCCGCATTAGGCACACACGTCATAGTTGGAGAAAAGGAAGGATGACATCACCGCCAACCAATCGGGGATTTCGCTGATCCCAAGGCAGCGAATGGGAGAAGGACGCTCCGCTGTCGCAATGCCTCCCTGGAAAATGGCCTACAATGGCCGACCCACTGTGCGCGACTCATCCGCAGCCGGGGCTTGGCTAGCGTCAGAATCGGCACATGAGACGGCTTAGTCTCTCTGCAAAGAAAAAGCCTCGGACTCAGCGGGGTGGCGGCACTGGGATTGTCCGAGGACGAGGGGAAAAGCTGTCAGGAGCGTGGAGAACAGCGAGAAATCCTGAGCTTCACTTGCCTCGCCAACAGACAGGCGTTTAAGTGCTTGCAAAAATAGCTTAGGTAGTCCCAATCCTGCAAGGTCAACGTGAAGGTGAAGGAGGAGGCGGTGGCGCATTTATGGAAAGACTAGGGCCACTGGGCAAAGAGCAACTGAGCACAATCACAATAACTGATCAGAGTGAACTTCCACGAATGGACATGTTCACGCGGCCAGATATTCCCGATTTAAGGATTGCACGTCCCTCTTCGGCTTGCGGGCCAATTCCCTCCTCCCCTTTGTTGTTAGCGCTAACCATGGTGTTACATCTTTACCAGCAACTGCGCCAACTGGCTCTGTGTAGTTAGAGGCAGCTTTGGAAACAGAGACCGGGAACTCACAGAGATGCACACACACAAAAAAACCCCTCACCTATACCAACCACAGTTAGCTCTGAAAGTGAAACCGAGAAAAAGAGCCAGTTTGGTGTAGTGGTTAAGTGTGCAGACTCTAATCTGGGAGAACTGGGTTTGATTCCCCATTCCTCCACTTGCACCTGCTAGTGTGACCTTGGGTCAGTCACAAGTTCTGTTAGAGCTGTTATATAAAGGGCAGTTCTGGAAAGAGCTCTCTCAGCCCCACCGACCTCACAGGGTGTCTGTTGTGTGGAAGGGGAAGGGATATGTAAGCCGCTCTGAGACTCCGAGTGAAGGGCGGGGTAAAAATCCAACCACCAACACCTCCTCCTCCTCCTCCTCATGAGCTCAGGGCAGTAGGCGACACTGGAATGCAAGACTCCCCAGTTCTCAACTCAGCCTCTCAGGCACTAGCAGGGGTTTAGCAAGGGTGCCCCCTATTTTCATCTGCGAGATTTAAGAAAGTCAGAGGACTTTATGTATTTATCTCCTTGCTTTATTTATATCCCACCCTTTCCCCCAAAGGGGACCCAAAGCATCTTACATCATTCTCCTCTCCTCTGCTTTAACCTCACAACAACCCTGTGAGGTAGGTTAGGCCGAGAGTTTATGGCCGGCCCGAGGCCACCCAGCAAACTTCCATGGCAGAGTGAGGATTCGAACCCAGGTCTCCCAGGTCTCAGTTTGACACTTTAACCACTACACCACACTGGCTCTTGGCCAATGAGGCTGGAGCTGTTTGAGACATGCTTCTGCTTCCCCGCCTTAAAGACAAATGGGAAAAGGACGCTACTCAGCTCACCCTTTGGCAAGTGCTCGGGAGAAGCGGGGGATGGCCGGACGCCAACCCGACTCTGGAGGAAGGGAGTTCAAATTGCGTAAGGGCTTGGCGTGCACGGCCCACGGGCTCCTGACACAAGGCAACAATCCAACGGCAACGAGATCTGCCGTTCGAGAAGCGTCTCGCTGTGAGTCAGGGAGACGCTCTGACCCTTTGGCGCAGGAGGGATTCGGCCTTCTTCCAAAGGGCTGGGCAGCTAGAAGGGAGAATTTCTCCCCCAGCGTCGGGAGGAAAGCTGTGGATCAGAAGCTTTGGAGGACAGCCAGATTAACTGCCTAAGTAAACCAGTTTGGTGTAGTGGTTAAGTGCGTGGACTCCAATCTGGGAGAACCTGGTTTGATTCCCCACTCCTCCACTTGCAGCTGCTGGATGACCTTGGGCAAGCCATCGTTCTGACAAGAGCTGTCCTTGAAATGAAAAGGCAGTTCTGAAAAGAGCTCACTCAGCCCCACCTTCCTCTCAGGGTGTCTGTTGTGGGGAGGAGAAGGGAAAGGAGTTTGTAAGCTGCCCTGAGACTCCAAGTGAAGGGCAGGATAGAAATCCAATCCCTTCAATCCAATCTCGTCTAAGTACGCCAGTGTACGCACGAACACATGAATCTGCTTTAGACTGAATCAGAGCCTTGGTCCATCAAAGTCAGTATTGTCTAATCATAGAATCCTAGAATCACAGAGCTGGAAGGGGCCTGTCATGATCTGGGCTGTGCTACCAGAGGCCTACTAGGCCCAGAGAGCCCGGCTAGCAGTAGGTGAGGCTGGGCCTACAATTCCCAGAATCCCCTGGGAAGTTTTGGAGCCAAAATGGACCAATGGGAAAAGAGGAGGGCTGGGAATAAAAGTTCTGGAGCTAGAGGAAGAGCTGTTCTTTCTTCCAGAGGGCAGAGCCAGAAGAAAGGCTGCTGCAGGGGAAAAACCCTCATCCTGAGGGAGGGGTGAGTAGTGTAAGGCCACTTGAGATAGTGAGCTAGGGACAGTATATTTATACGCGTTAGGGCATTTTATTTCTTTTCTTTTCACCCACTTACTGTTATTATTCTCAGGGCTATTTTTGTGCAGGAACGCACCGGGACGGAGCTCCG